CCCCGACCCGCAACTTCCGATGCGGGAGGCGGGGTCGCCCGACGGTCACCCCCTCCCCGAAACCTTGTCCAGAACTCCGCGCAACGAGAAACCCGGCGTGCTTCTCATTCCCAGGCGTCCACGCTGACGGCGGGAATACAACAAAAAAGGAGCCGTCGATCGGAGCAAAACAATAAAAAAAAAAATTTTCACAAAGGAACTCGTTGCGCGCTGAGCAAAAAGGAGGGGTGCAACACGAGGACTTCCCAGGAGGTCACCCATCCTAGTACTACTCTCGCCCAAGCACGCTTAACTGCGGAGTTCTGATGGGATCCGGTGCATTAGTGCTGGTATGATCGCACCCGTCCACTCCCCTTCTCCTTCCCCCCTTATACGTCACCCCGCGCGCCTCTCCCGCCCTCCTGGCCCGCTCCCGGCGCCGAACGCAGGGAAACGCGGGCCCGGACCCCTCGCCGTCGCCCCGAACGCCGGGAAACACGGCATTTTGGCCGGACGAGCTTCCGCGCGCCCTCCCCGACCCGCAACTTCCGATGCGGGAGGCGGGGTCGCCCGACGGTCACCCCCTCCCCGAAACCTTGTCCAGAACTCCGCGCAACGAGAAACCCGGCGTGCTTCTCATTCCCAGGCGTCCACGCTGACGGCGGGAATACAACAAAAAAGGAGCCGTCGATCGGAGCAAAACAATAAAAAAAAAAATTTTCACAAAGGAACTCGTTGCGCGCTGAGCAAAAAGGAGGGGTGCAACACGAGGACTTCCCAGGAGGTCACCCATCCTAGTACTACTCTCGCCCAAGCACGCTTAACTGCGGAGTTCTGATGGGATCCGGTGCATTAGTGCTGGTATGATCGCACCCGTCCACTCCCCTTCTCCTTCCCCCCTTATACGTCACCCCGCGCGCCTCTCCCGCCCTCCTGGCCCGCTCCCGGCGCCGAACGCAGGGAAACGCGGGCCCGGACCCCTCGCCGTCGCCCCGAACGCCGGGAAACACGGCATTTTGGCCGGACGAGCTTCCGCGCGCCCTCCCCGACCCGCAACTTCCGATGCGGGAGGCGGGGTCGCCCGACGGTCACCCCCTCCCCGAAACCTTGTCCAGAACTCCGCGCAACGAGAAACCCGGCGTGCTTCTCATTCCCAGGCGTCCACGCTGACGGCGGGAATACAACAAAAAAGGAGCCGTCGATCGGAGCAAAACAATAAAAAAAAAAATTTTCACAAAGGAACTCGTTGCGCGCTGAGCAAAAAGGAGGGGTGCAACACGAGGACTTCCCAGGAGGTCACCCATCCTAGTACTACTCTCGCCCAAGCACGCTTAACTGCGGAGTTCTGATGGGATCCGGTGCATTAGTGCTGGTATGATCGCACCCGTCCACTCCCCTTCTCCTTCCCCCCTTATACGTCACCCCGCGCGCCTCTCCCGCCCTCCTGGCCCGCTCCCGGCGCCGAACGCAGGGAAACGCGGGCCCGGACCCCTCGCCGTCGCCCCGAACGCCGGGAAACACGGCATTTTGGCCGGACGAGCTTCCGCGCGCCCTCCCCGACCCGCAACTTCCGATGCGGGAGGCGGGGTCGCCCGACGGTCACCCCCTCCCCGAAACCTTGTCCAGAACTCCGCGCAACGAGAAACCCGGCGTGCTTCTCATTCCCAGGCGTCCACGCTGACGGCGGGAATACAACAAAAAAGGAGCCGTCGATCGGAGCAAAACAATAAAAAAAAAAATTTTCACAAAGGAACTCGTTGCGCGCTGAGCAAAAAGGAGGGGTGCAACACGAGGACTTCCCAGGAGGTCACCCATCCTAGTACTACTCTCGCCCAAGCACGCTTAACTGCGGAGTTCTGATGGGATCCGGTGCATTAGTGCTGGTATGATCGCACCCGTCCACTCCCCTTCTCCTTCCCCCCTTATACGTCACCCCGCGCGCCTCTCCCGCCCTCCTGGCCCGCTCCCGGCGCCGAACGCAGGGAAACGCGGGCCCGGACCCCTCGCCGTCGCCCCGAACGCCGGGAAACACGGCATTTTGGCCGGACGAGCTTCCGCGCGCCCTCCCCGACCCGCAACTTCCGATGCGGGAGGCGGGGTCGCCCGACGGTCACCCCCTCCCCGAAACCTTGTCCAGAACTCCGCGCAACGAGAAACCCGGCGTGCTTCTCATTCCCAGGCGTCCACGCTGACGGCGGGAATACAACAAAAAAGGAGCCGTCGATCGGAGCAAAACAATAAAAAAAAAAATTTTCACAAAGGAACTCGTTGCGCGCTGAGCAAAAAGGAGGGGTGCAACACGAGGACTTCCCAGGAGGTCACCCATCCTAGTACTACTCTCGCCCAAGCACGCTTAACTGCGGAGTTCTGATGGGATCCGGTGCATTAGTGCTGGTATGATCGCACCCGTCCACTCCCCTTCTCCTTCCCCCCTTATACGTCACCCCGCGCGCCTCTCCCGCCCTCCTGGCCCGCTCCCGGCGCCGAACGCAGGGAAACGCGGGCCCGGACCCCTCGCCGTCGCCCCGAACGCCGGGAAACACGGCATTTTGGCCGGACGAGCTTCCGCGCGCCCTCCCCGACCCGCAACTTCCGATGCGGGAGGCGGGGTCGCCCGACGGTCACCCCCTCCCCGAAACCTTGTCCAGAACTCCGCGCAACGAGAAACCCGGCGTGCTTCTCATTCCCAGGCGTCCACGCTGACGGCGGGAATACAACAAAAAAGGAGCCGTCGATCGGAGCAAAACAATAAAAAAAAAAATTTTCACAAAGGAACTCGTTGCGCGCTGAGCAAAAAGGAGGGGTGCAACACGAGGACTTCCCAGGAGGTCACCCATCCTAGTACTACTCTCGCCCAAGCACGCTTAACTGCGGAGTTCTGATGGGATCCGGTGCATTAGTGCTGGTATGATCGCACCCGTCCACTCCCCTTCTCCTTCCCCCCTTATACGTCACCCCGCGCGCCTCTCCCGCCCTCCTGGCCCGCTCCCGGCGCCGAACGCAGGGAAACGCGGGCCCGGACCCCTCGCCGTCGCCCCGAACGCCGGGAAACACGGCATTTTGGCCGGACGAGCTTCCGCGCGCCCTCCCCGACCCGCAACTTCCGATGCGGGAGGCGGGGTCGCCCGACGGTCACCCCCTCCCCGAAACCTTGTCCAGAACTCCGCGCAACGAGAAACCCGGCGTGCTTCTCATTCCCAGGCGTCCACGCTGACGGCGGGAATACAACAAAAAAGGAGCCGTCGATCGGAGCAAAACAATAAAAAAAAAAATTTTCACAAAGGAACTCGTTGCGCGCTGAGCAAAAAGGAGGGGTGCAACACGAGGACTTCCCAGGAGGTCACCCATCCTAGTACTACTCTCGCCCAAGCACGCTTAACTGCGGAGTTCTGATGGGATCCGGTGCATTAGTGCTGGTATGATCGCACCCGTCCACTCCCCTTCTCCTTCCCCCCTTATACGTCACCCCGCGCGCCTCTCCCGCCCTCCTGGCCCGCTCCCGGCGCCGAACGCAGGGAAACGCGGGCCCGGACCCCTCGCCGTCGCCCCGAACGCCGGGAAACACGGCATTTTGGCCGGACGAGCTTCCGCGCGCCCTCCCCGACCCGCAACTTCCGATGCGGGAGGCGGGGTCGCCCGACGGTCACCCCCTCCCCGAAACCTTGTCCAGAACTCCGCGCAACGAGAAACCCGGCGTGCTTCTCATTCCCAGGCGTCCACGCTGACGGCGGGAATACAACAAAAAAGGAGCCGTCGATCGGAGCAAAACAATAAAAAAAAAAATTTTCACAAAGGAACTCGTTGCGCGCTGAGCAAAAAGGAGGGGTGCAACACGAGGACTTCCCAGGAGGGCCAAGTTCAAACCACCAAATGGTGGCTCGGCCGAAGTCAAACCACCAAATGGTGGCTCGGCCAAGTTCAAACCACCAAATGGTGGCTCGGCCAAGTTCAAACCACCAAATGGTGGCTCGGCCAAGTTCAAACCACCAAATGGTGGCTCGGCCAAGTTCAAACCACCAAATGGTGGCTCGGCCAAGTTCAAACCACCATTTGGTGGCTCGGCCAAGGCCGAGCCACTTCGGTGAATCGACCAGAATTAGTTTTTTCGGTTCTTTTATGGATTCTTTCGGGATTTAAGGTTCCAACTGCTCTGATATTGTTGTTAGACAGTTGCTAACTGAAGATAGAGGGAATCTCTCGTTTTGATCCAAGGAAACCACCAACCAAGCCTATAAATAGGGGCTCGGGTGTTCATTTTTAAAGGATCTGGAAATCAAGAGGATAGCAGATCTTAGCGGAGTTCTTCAACAAAGCAATAGTTCGAGAGATCTGAGACTCATTCTACCCTCCTCCGGATTTAAGCTTAGTCTTAAATCCCGAGAAGAGCCGTGATTTTGCTTAGTCAAAATCGCCGCTACTGCAATCACTTCCTTCGTGAAGCGAAAGCACTAATTATCCAAACTTCTGCTCACCGGATCTGATCCGTAGGCGATCCACGGATAAACCCCGGCACCGGCAACGATCCCGCACAAGCAATAGGCGATAAACTTCTATTGTGTGTAGTTTGAGAGAAAATTGTAACTTTTGATTTAAAGTCTTATAAAAAGGCTATATTTGTTGTTTGAGTTTATTGTAAGTGTTTGAAGCTGTAATGGACTCATCAATGAAATCAGTTTTCCATCCAAACACGCTGTCGACCACAGTGGGAGCCGACAGTCTTTCTGCAAAGGCTGATGTGTCGCAACCTCGGATTCTCATCCCGGTTGAAGAAGAGGTCGAGTTCGAGTTCGACCAGCAGAAGTATGAGGAGTACTTGTCCTCCCCCTCCAGATCTACCTCTCCTCGCAAGTCCAGGAAGGTTTGCTAGTCTTCGGATTTGAAGAACCAAGAAGATCTCCCCGCCACTGCTTTAATCGTGGCTTGCAACGCCTCGCCGACACCCGACGAGGCCGACGCCGCAGATCTGAACTCCTTGTGCGAGGAGTTGACTATTGATGATGTGCCCGTTCTATCAAAGAGGGCACGACAGAGACGGCGACAACGCCTTGCGCGCCAAATGGCCAAGGCCTTAGAACTGATTGATGGAATTCGCTATGAAGCGGATCTGAAGTTCAGGAGGCGCCAAACGTCGCAACAACGTGTGGCTAACTCCTCCAACTCAACCACGAATGAATGAATCCACGTCAAAAGGACGCGCTCAACTCTTAAAGAAAGGATCCAGAAACGCCGCGCGTTACTCGCGCATGCGCGAACTTTGATGCAAGAAGCGCAGAAGTTGGAACAAGAAGAAGTGATAAAGAAGCCACCAAGATCACGCCGAGTCTAGAGGCCAAAGTCCAAACCGACGTCAAGAACAACCCAAACGGTGCCCGAAGGCATCGAAAAATTCTTGAATATATCCATGTGGGTTTCCAAACGGTGCCCGAAGGCATAATACATCCATGTGGGTTTCCAAAAAAAAAAAGAAGAAGAAAAAGTGCTTGGTAATTTAAGCATGCTTTGACCAAGCGAAACACAGATATGAAGCGGCCACGCCCACGAAGGAGAATGACGGCTCTATACCGGTGAAGTCGCCCTAAATTAATTTTAAGTGTGTTTTGATAAGGCGAAACACAGATATGAAGCGGCCACGCCCACGAAGGAGAATGACGGCTCTATACCGGTAAAATCACCCTAAATTAATTTTAAGTGTGTTTTGATCAAGCGAAACACGGATATGAAGCGGCCACGCCCACGAAGGAGAATGACGGCTCTATACCGGTAAAATCACCGCAAATTAATTTTAAGTGTGTTTTGATCAAGCGAAACACGGATATGAGGCGGCCACGCCCACGAAGGAGAATGACGGCTCTATACCGGTGAAATCGCCCTAAATTAATTTTAAGTGTGTTTTGATCAAGCGAAACACAGATATGAAGCGGCCACGCCCACGAAGGAGGATGACGGCTCTTCCCAATAGCCTCACCAAGGAGAACAAAGCGGGGATGCAAGATGCAATGTTAATGTTAAAGTCGTAAATAAGAGAAATGATAACATTATACCAGTGCAACTGAAAGGTTCGGGCTCGGGTGACTGGGTAGCAGAACGACCCCTCACGGTACGTGACTTCCTTGTCGCCATAGCTAACCTGCAACGAGAACCAACAATTCAATCATTCAGAGGATTTGGGAAGTATAATGTTAAAAAGGGAAGTTGTGAATCTTCGATTGAAGTTCAACAACGTAGAATTTTCTAGTTGAAGGTCCGATTAAACCTATACGACATCCCCCATTCATGTTAAAACGAAAGGAAAATCAAACGTAAAAGTTTGGTTTTAAGGCCTACATGAGTTCAATCGTACACAAGAGTTCGACCACATACAAGTTTGGACTCAAGGCATACACGAGTTCAGTTACATATGAATTCGACGATACAAGAGCTTGGCTACATACAAGTTCGAGTTCAATCATATACAAGAATTCAGACTAACATCAACTTGGATTCGGCTATATACAGGTTCAAAGTTGTCAACCAAATTTCAGTCTCATATTTGCACAAAAGCACCCCCCAAAATTTCAGCCCATATTTGCACAAAAGCCCTCCAAATTTCAGTCCCATATTTGCATTATACACCCTCAAATTTTAGCCCTATTTTTACACATACACCTTCAAATTTTAGCTTCATATTTACACAAAACACCCTCAAATTTCAGCCCATTTTTATACAAAACCCCCTCAAAGTTCAGTTCATCTTTTTGCACATAAGTCCCATCAAAATTCAGTCCCAAATTTTCATATAAACCCCCAAAAATTTCAGCACATTCTTGCATAAATACCCCTCAAATTTCGGCCATATATGCATGAAAATAAAAAAATATTTTGCAATCAAAGATGAGAGAACCCATCTTTCAATTTTCGGCCAACTTTCAAGAACCAAAAATCAAGATTTGATTTTTTTCCCCAAATCAAAAAATTAGGGTTTTGAAATTTGGAGGATTCAAAAGAAGGAGAACAAATTTAAAGCCATGAAGGAGAAAGATTCTTACCCAAGCTGAAGAATCGTTGATGATGAAGCCCAAAATCCTCCAAACCCAACTTGCCTTGCTTGAGGACTAAGAGGGAAAGTTGAAGCTTTAAAGAGTTTAGAAGGTTTGAAGAAGAAGAGGATGGAGTTCTTGAAGAAGGAGAACTCAAAGCAACCAAGAGGGGGGACGGGTTGCTGGTAGAACCGAAAAAAAATATAAGGTGGGAGGCGGAATTTCTTGCTGGAACCGAAGAAAGGAAAGGAAAGAAGAAGAGAAGGGAAATTGACTTTAGGGAGGCGGAATTTCTTGCTGGAACCGAAGAAAGGAAAGGAAAGAAGAAGAGAAGGGAAATTGACTTTATATTGGAGATTTCTTGTTGTTTTTGTTGGACCGAACCCACATGAACCGAACCGGCTGAAATTGACTTTATATTGGAGATTTCTTGTTGTTTTTGTTGGACCGAACCCACATGAACCGAACCGGCTAGAACCGGACCGGTCTGAACCGAACCCAAACCTAATTTGTTGATTCATACGCGTGTGGGGCGCGAAATGTTGGCTCGCGCGTGTGGAGTGGTCCGGGGATAATTCATATGCATTTTGAACCTCTTTTCGGATCGGTAAAATGGGCCTTACTCTTGTCCCAATATTACGCGTTGATCGGTGTTGACCTATGGGCTACGCGTTGATCCGTGTTGACCTTAGGGTTTCGAATCGATCAGCGTTGACTCTCATCGCAACGCGTTGACCGGCGTTGACCTAGGACTACGCGTTGATCCGGCGTTGACCTTAGGGTTTTGAATTAACGTGAGGAGAACCAGTTTATACTCGTGTACTCCTGGGAGTTTCGGGAATTAGTTTAACCTCGTGTACCCGTTGGAGGTTGCTGGGTTATCCTTTAAGAATATTACGCGTAATATTTTCCAGGAACTTCCCGTCAACAGTGAGAAATAGCTTAGACTCGTATTTCTGTTGGAGTATGAATACAGGCGTCGAATATATCGAAAAATATCCGAAAAGAGGTTCAAAATGCATATGAATTATCCCCGGACCCCTCCACAAGCGCGAGCCCACATTTCGTGGCCCACACGCGTATGAATCAACAAATTAGGTTTGGGTTCGGTTCAGACCGGTCCGGTTCAAGCCGGTTCGGTTCATGTGGGTTCGGTCCAACAAAAACAACAAGAAATCTCCAATATAAAGTCAATTTCCCTTCTCTTCTTCTTTCCTTTCCTTTCTTCGGTTCCAGCAAGAAATTCCGCCTCCCCCCTTATATTTTTTTTTCGGTTCTACCAGCAACCCGTCCCCCCTCTTGGTTGCTTTGAGTTCTCCTTCTTCAAGAACTCCATCCTCTTCTTCTTCAAACCTTCTAAACTCTTTAAAGCTTCAACTTTCCCTCTTAGTCCTCAAGCAAGGCAAGTTGGGTTTGGAGGATTTTGGGCTTCATCATCAACGATTCTTCAAGCTTGGGTAAGAATCTTTCTCCTTCATGGCTTTAAATTGGTTCTCCTTCTTTTGAATCCTCCAAATTTCAAAACCCTAATTTTTTGATTTGGGGAAAAATCAAATCTTGATTTTTGGTTCTTGAAAGTTGGCCGAAAATTGAAAGATGGGTTCTCTCATCTTTGATTGCAAAATATTTTTTTATTTTTATGCATATATATGGCCGAAATTTGAGGAGTATTTATGCAAGAATGGGCCTTACTCTTGTCCCAATATGACCTGCACTTTAAAAACAACAGAAGTCGGTGAAAGGACAGGCCATTTGTGACCTCCTGGCAGCTAACCCAACTACAGATACTGCCGAGTTATATGACGATCTTCCAGATGAAACCCACGAAGTCAATGCAACTTCGCACCAACAAGTGTGGCGTTTGTACTTCGACGGTGCTTCTCGAGCAGCTAATGTAGCAAGTGCTCCTGGATGTTCTAAGATTTCTTCTGGAGTTGGGGTCGTCTTAGTTTCCCCAGGAAAACATGTAATGCCTCGAGCCTACTCGTTGACCGAGCCATGCTCAAATAATATTGCCGAATATAAGGCGCTACTCATAGGACTCAATTTCGCTAAAGAACTGGGGGTCGAGTATCTCGAAGCGTTCGGCGATTCTCAACTAATAGTTAAGCAGGTTCAAGGGGAGTATGAGGTCCGAAGTCAGGATTTAATACCATATCATAAGATGGCTGTAGAGATGACAAAATCGTTCGAAGGATTCTTCATCGAACACATTCCGCGATTACAGAACGCTTACGCAGATGCATTAGCAGCATTAGCCGTATCTCTGGCACAGCCTCCTGAAACAGAACAGTTTGTTACGGTAAGAACTCACCAACTCTTAGTGCCAATCTACGATGAAGATGACAATGAAGAGGATGTTCAAGAGGTATATTCAACCCAAGTCGAGTTTGAACCCCGAGATTGGCGTTTCCCTATCATCGATTACGTCTTGCATGGAATCTTACCAGAAGATGTGAAAGAGAGGGATTCAATCCGACGAAGAGAAGCGATATTCTACTATAACGCGGAGAGTCGAACGTTGTACCGCAGGGGGTACGATGGTTTACTATTACGCTGCTTATCGACTAAAGAAGCTGAGGAAGTCCTCAAGGAAGCACACGAAGGGGTTTGTGGCGCACACCAACCCGGCCCCAAACTTTATGACCGCATCAGAAGAATGAGATATTTCTGACCTTCTATAATGAGTGACGCAGTCGTGTATGCTCGAAAGTGTCATGCGTGTCTGATACACGCGAATTATATGCACCAACCTCCGGAGCATCTGCATCCTTCGGTTACATCATGGCCGTTTGAGACCTGGGGAATGGATATTGTTGGTCCTATAAATCCCCCGTCAGTCAAAGATGACCGATTCATCCTGGCAATTACTGACTACTTCTCCAAATGGGCTGAAGCTATTCCACTCAGAGAAGTTAAGACCAGTAACGTCATCGCATTCATCAAACACCATATTATCTACCGGCATGGTGTCCCAAGACGAATCATACATGACAACGGTTCTCAATTTGTCAGCAACGTCTTCACCAGGTTTTGCGAGAAGTTCAATATTCAAGACGTCTCGTCAACGGTTTATAATCCCACAGTAAATGGATTGGCTGAAGCCTTCAATAAGACAATCATAAAGCTTTTGTCAAATCTCGTGAAAACTAATAAACGAGATTGGGATGACAAGCTTGGCGCGGCTCTATGGGCCTATCGTACTACGGTACGTACACCGACGGGAGCGACCCCGTATTCGTTGGTATACGGATGTGAAGCCGTCCTTCCATTAGAAATACAAATTCTATCTCTTCGAATTGCTCTCGCAACCCAGATGACGACCAAAGAACAACATCAGAAACGTCTCGAAGAACTCAAGATGCTCGACGAAAAGCGCTTAGAAGCTCAACAGCATATTGAGTTTTACCAAGCCAAAATTTCCCGAGCTTTCGACAAGAAGGTTCGACAACGGAGTTTTAAAGAGGGAGATTTGGTCATAACTGAGAGACGACCTATGATCCTTGACTCCAAGAAGAAAGGAAAATTTGAACCCAAATGGGAAGGACCATTTGTAGTAGAGACAGTCTACTCGAGTGGTGCATATCGCCTGATTACTAAGGATGGCGATCGGCTTATGATGCCGATAAACGGCAAGTTCCTAAAAAAATACTACCCTTAGTATCTTCAGGATAACCAATGTATCGGGAAGTTCCCGGAAGAATACTACTTGTGGTATTCTTAGGGATAACCCAATCACTGTAAAGGTGATAAATAAGAGATCCACGTACGAATTCTGAGCGTCAGGATGTTTCCTTTTATTGTTGTCAAGTTTTCTAACTCTCATGAGTTATTTTTGTTGAGACGAGATTCAATCCTTTTAACAGATTAATCTTTCCTCGCAAAATCCTCCATTGATCAAATTAATTGACGGTGGGTCCACCAAAATTTCTATCCGCCAGTCATTGGCAGTTCTCAGACTCAACATGTTAGGTCCTAATCACTTAGTATTGAAGTCCTCCGTTGAGTGATAGTACGAGTTGGCATTCCCATTGCTACCTGTATTCCACTCTCTTTGCTTTCAGGTCAAACCTATAAAAGTTAGGGCCAAAGCCAAATTTCTCTCTCGATTCCTTCCATGAACGAGAGGTCCACTTTCAATTCGAACAATCAAACCTATAAAAGTTAGGATTGTTCCCAATCTCACTTAGTCAAACCTACAGATAGTTAGGACTAAGACCGAGTCATCCCTTTTCGATAAACGAAAGTTTGTTAGACCCTAGAGGGGGGGTGATTAGGGTCTTATGCTAATCTAATCCGATTATATGCCAATTAAAATTAATTAATGAGTTATTCTAGCAAGTATGAAATATAAAAAGATATGTAAACTAGGATAAGCAATATGAATAAAAGAATATATCCTATCAATGAGATATTACAAGTATATGAGCAAGGATATATAAACTAACACAAGGGTAAAGCAAACTAAACTAGATAGTGGGCAATATGATCAACAAGCAATATATGAGGGTGATATAAGATATGAACATAAAAATAAGTACGCCAATGCAATCACAAACAAACGATATGTTTACGAGGTTCGGTCCCCACGACCTACGTCCCCGCTCCTCACCTCGAGGAGATCTCCACTATCACAACCGGGTTTTCTACGTTCACCCGAACAACGTTTACACCTCACAATACAATCACTATGTAATCACACCTCACACACTAAGTGTTGGTCCTAGCCCGTGTCCTCCTCCTCAAGTGCTCGGTTACAACCTCTCCCTAGGCACGTCAACCGACGCCACTCCTCTTGGATTTGACCCCGTCTCTCACCACACACTTCTCTCGGTGTACAAGTGTATTACAAGTGAATCCTCACAATTAAGCACAATATAAATCAATGATTGTTCTCTCTAACAAGGTGAGAACTCAATTAAGCACAACTCTAAGTCACTAATTCCACAACCCAAAATATACTATGAATGTAAATACTATAAGCTCAATAGGTTGTGTGTGAACAAAGAGATAAAACAATATAAACTCAATATGAAATCTAGCTTATGAAATTAAGAACAAACTTATAAAATGCTAGAATTGAGTTTAAGGAAACTTCTCTATAGATGACAAGAGAGTGGGAGAAGAGTGAATGCTCAAACACCAAAGGATGATCTCCACTTGCTCTTGTGAAATTGAATTCACAAACTCAAACCCTCAATTAAAAGCTCTTTAAACCAAACTTAAATAAGCACTAAACAAGTTTAAATATTTGTTAAACTATTTTAAAACATTCTCTTTTGTGTGTTAAAACTGAGGTATAAGGGGGTATTTATAGCCTCCCAATACCTCAAACAAAAGCCCAAACCAAAAGACCAAAAACCCCTCCAACGGATACAAAAAACTAGCTGTTATGTGCATTCTGGACCCTGGTCGGTCGACCGACCATTTTTTCGGTCGACCGCTCGCACTGTACAAACCTGAAAAAGCTCCAGAGACATTTCCGGTCGACCGGTCCGGTCGACCGGAGTACTGTAGCAGTGCGCAGCTATTTTGTAAAATCAATTTAAAATAGTAAATGAACTCCAAAAATTATGAAATTTTGTGGGAATGTTCTAGACATGTAGAATAACATGTCAGAGAAAGAATTTCTGAAAAATCATTTCCCAGTTGAGAGAAATAAATGTTTGAACACAAAAATACAGTTTCTGAAAATCTGCTGTGATACAAGATTTTGTAAAATCAATTAGGCATAGTAAATCAACTCCAAAAATAGTAAAAACTGGAGGAAAGTTTATAAACATGTAGATAAACATGTCAGAGAAAGAATATTTCAAATATCACTTCCCATTTGTAAAAACTCATCAGTTTTGTAAAACATGCACGAACATGTGCACGAACGAAAACGTGAATTTGTAAATTCCTTTAAACATAACAAATCAATTTCAAACTTGATAAAACTGTGAGAAATGTTTGCAAGTAATATTTTGAGCATGTTACAAAAAGAATTTTCCAATTTGCATTTCCCAATTGTGAAATCTCATTATTTTACAAAAGTGTTCAAAACATAAAAACTCAAAATCATGCATGTATATATATAACTATATATATACATAGAAACCAAATACGTGTGTGTATATGATATTGAGCTTAAGGTACTTAACACACATAATATAAAACCTAAACTAGATTACCCAAGCTTGATCTTGATCTTCATTGTAGCTCAACTTGTGAACTTTGAATAGCAAGGCTTCAACCCACAATTCCGCCAACCTCCATTTGATATCGTCGTTATGGCGCAATCCATCCATCCTCCAACAACGTTGTTTGTCTACAATACATAGGAATGCACAAACACTAGACAAACAACATTAGTAGTAAATTGTTTGTTAAACATCATCAAAACAAGAAGGCCAACAAAGTTTGCCTTTGTTCCTTTTTCCACCAAACCTATAAAAGTTAGGGTCGAAATTGGACTTTCTCCTCAATAAACGAGGGATTCTTTTTGGATCAAACGACCAATCCTATAAAAGTTAGGGTCGTTTGAATCTTTCCGATTCTCGGAGTGGAGATCCCACTCTTAGTTTCATCTTTTCGGATTCTAGGGTTGGAGATCACACATTGAGTTTCCTTTCTAACTGGAGATAGAATATAAAATTCTTCCTCTTCAGTGCAGGGAGATAGAATATAAAATTCTTCCTCTTCCATTTTCTAGTCCGTCTTTACTCTGAGAAAAGACACAATTCCTAACTTCCAATCCGTACACTTTGTGCACGGGGAATTTTATCTTAACTCCTAAATAGAGATAAGCCTACGCTTAACACGCGTTGCCGGTTTAGTCTTTCACCGATTGAAAAAGACACCAGAGTCTAAACCTGAGGAATTTTATCCCGAAGCCTAAGAAGGGATAAGTCGTCGTCTAATACGCAATGCTGGGTACTTTTTCCCTATAAGAAATGGTTAAGCCTATGTATTCAAAGTCATAGCATCAAGTCTAAGAGAAGTAATTCTCTTAGCACAACGTTACATGCGGAACGGACTAAAACAATCTGTATGCTAGCCCGATTCAAACAGTAATCGGTAAAGGCTCATCAAACCCGTTGATAGCTGGGGGTTTGCCAAAAATCCTGCGAGTATTATGATTGGTTATTCTAGACGGAGTAAGATATCATAATAAAAAAAAGTATAATGAATAAAAAAATGTCTTCTATTCATAAAAATCAAGTTTGCAGGTACAATAGTTACAATCGATCTACGTGAAGTTTGTGACTACGGATTTGCTGTTCAAGTTTCGTCGGTTCTTCTGTATAATTTTGCTCAAGCTCACGCTGCAATTCAACCTTGAAAGACTCCTCGGTGAGGGATAATGTCTTCGCGGCCTCTTCTTTGATCTCGGTTAACCTCTGTCTCGAGAGCTCTAATATCCCGGATATCACAACCCGGGAACGCTCCAAGTCATCTTTCGCCATCCCCAAGATTCTCAGGGCCTCCTCTTCTGCCTTGAGCTCCTCTTTGAGTCGCTCTACCTTAGCTTCACCCGACGTAATAGAGGATTCGAGTTGACACAAAGATGTTTGTTTCTCAGCTAGAACGGCCTCCATTTGATCCACGCGACTTTGTTGTTTTTGAATCTCAAGTCCAACAGAGACTCGAGTGTCACGCCAGACTTGTAGAGGAGATTCCATCTGGTTGGCTATGTACGTTGAAGTACCGGCGATCTTCAACTCTTGTAACTTTTGGAATTCGCGCTCTAGCCGGTCCAAATCGTCAGCAATAGCTTGTGCCAAGGGTGGCGATCCGATCTTCTCTATTAAGGCTAATCTGTGATCAAAGATTGGCCTGAATTGACGGAAAGAGGTCCCACTATGGAGGAGTTTGTCGATCACCTTGCCCCCGCGCGATGCAATACAGTATGAAATCACCCCAAGTTAATTTAGGCGTGTTTTGACCAAGCAAAACACGGCTATAAAACGGCCACACCCACGAAGGAGAATGGCAGCTCTTCCCGATTGCCTCACCAAGGAGAACAAAATGGGGATATCATGCATAACACATCCATGTGGGTTTCCAAGCAAAAAAAATTAAAGAAGAAGAAAAGGTGCTTGTTAATTTAGGCATGCTTTGACCAAGCGAAACACGGATATGAAGCGGCCACGCCCACGAAGGAGAGTGACGGCTCTATACCGGTGAAGCGAAACACGGATATGAAGCGGCCACGCCCACGAAGGAGAGTGACGGCTCTATACCGGTGAAATCGCTCTAAATTAATTTAAGCGTGTTTTGACCAAGCGAAACACAGATATAAAGCGATCACGCCCACGAAGGAGAGTGACGGCTCTATACTAGTAAAATCTCCCTAAATTAATTTAAGCATGTTTTGACCAAGCAAAACACGGATATGAAGCGGCCACGCCCACGAAGGAGAGTGACAGCTCTATAACGGTGAAATCGCCCTAAATTAATTTAAGCGTGTTTTGACCAAGCGAAACACGGCTATGAAGCGGCCACGCCCACGAAGGAGAGTAACGGCTCTATACCGGTGAAATCGCCTCAAATTAGTGTAGGCATGCTTCGACCAAGCGAAACACGGCTATGAAACGGCCACACCCACGAAGGAGAGTGGCGGCTCTATACCGGTGAAATCGCCTCAAATTAGTGTAGGCATGCTTCGACCAAGCGAAACATGACTATGAAGCGGCCACACTCACGAATGAGGGTGATGGCTCTTCCCAATTGCCTCACCATGGAGAACAAAGCGGGGATACAAGATGCAATGTTAATGTTAAAGTCGTAAATAAGAGAAATGATAACGTTATACCAGTGCAACTGAAAGGTTCGGGCTCGGGTGACTAGGTAACAGAACGACCCCTCGCGGTACGTGACTTCCTCATCGCCATAGCTAACCTGCAACGAGAACCAACAATTCAATCATTCAGAGGATTTGGGAAGTATAATGTTAAAAAGGGAAATTGTGAATCTTCGATTGAAGTTCTACAACGTAGAATTTTCTAGTTGAAGGTCCAATTAAACCTATACGACATCCCCCATTCATGTTAAAACGAGAGGAAAATCAAATGTAAAAGTTTGGTTTTAAGGCCTACACGAGTTCAATCGTACACAAGAGTTCGACTACATACAAGTTTGGACTCAAGGCATACACGAGTTCAGTTACATATGAATTCGACAATACAAGAAAATTGGCTATATACAAGTTCGAGTTCAATCATATACAAGAATTCAGATTAACATCAACTTGGATTCGGCTATGTACAGGTTCAAAGTTGTCAACCAACACTCAAGCCCCAAATTTGCACATACACCCCCCAAAATTTTAGCCTCAAATTTGCACAAAAGCCCTCCAAATTTCAGCCTCAAATTTGCACATAAACCCCTCAAATTTCAGCCCTATTTTTATACATAACCCCCTCAAAGTTCAGCCCATTTTTACACAAAACCCCCCTCAAAGTTCAGTCCATCTTTTTGCACATAAGCCCCCTCAAAATTCAGTCCATCTTTTCCCACAAAAACCCCCAAAAATTCAATCCCAATTTTGCACATAAAACCCCAAAATTTCAGCCCCAAGTTCGGCCAAAAACCCCTCAAATTTCATCAAATTTTGCACACAATCTACCCCTCAAATTTTCGGCCATATATATGCATGAAATTGAAAAAATATTGAGATAAAAAATGAGGGAATCCATCTCTCAAATTTCGGCCACCTCTCAACAAAAAAAAATCAAGATTTGATATTTCCCCCAAATTAACAAACTAGGGTTTTGGATTTTGAAGAATTCAAAAGAGGGGAAATCAAATTGAAGTTATGAGGGAAATTAACAAACTAGGGTTTTGGATTTTGAAGAATTCAAAAGAGGGGAAATCAAATTGAAGTTATGAGGGAAAGAAGATCTTACCAAAGCTTGAAGAATCTGAGGGGAAATCAAATTGAAGTTATGAGGGAAAGAAGATCTTACCAAAGCTTGAAGAATCTTTGAAGAGGAAACTTTGCTGTCAATGAAGATCAAAATCCTCCTTGCCTTGCTTGAAAACCTTGGAGAGGAAGAAGGCTTTGAAGAAGAAAGGGTTGAAGGCCTTGAAGAGGATGGGTTTAAAAGCTTTAGAACTCTTGATGAGGGAGAGTTCTTGGGGAAGGAGAGCTCAAAACCGAAGTTGAAGGGGGGAGGTTTTTTGTTTTGGAACCGAAACAAAGAAGAAAAAAAGGAGAGGAGGATGAGATCGGTCTTTGAGGGGGGAGATTTTTAAGTGCCTGAACCGGTCTGAACCGGATTGGCCTGAACCAAACCTGATCGAATCAGCCCAAATTACAAGTATCTTTTGATGGTTCACATGCGTATGAGGCGCGAAATGATGGCTCGAACATGTAGAAAGACTTGGGGATAATTTATATACACTTTGATCCCCTTTTCAGATATTTTTACGATGTATTCAACACTCGTATTTATACTCCAATGAGAATACGAGTCTAAACTATTTCTCACCATTGACGGGAAGTTCCTGGAAAATATTATGTATAATATTCTCAAGGATAACCCGTCAACTTCCAACGGGTACACGAGGCTAAACTAATTCCCGAAACTCCCGGGAGTACACGAGTATAAACTGGTTCTCCTCACGTTAACGCGAAACCCTAAGGTCAACGCCGGATCAACGTGTAACCCTAGGTCAACGCCGGTCAACGCGCTGCGATGAGAGTTATCGCCGATCGATTCAAAACCCTAAGGTCAACGCGGATCAACGCGTAGCCCTAAGTCAACGTTGTTCAACGTGTTGAGACACAGATAATTAATCCAAAAGTCAACTCAGCGAGACGAGCCAAAATTAACTTACCAAATTCTGATTCGAGACTTCGGCAATGGTCAGACAATAAACGCAGCACCGGAAGCATTTTAACTGTTCGATAAAACACTGAACAGACTGAAATGTGATGTGCATCTGATCAGTTTATATAATGAAGGGTAGTTGTTCAAATAATTGAATTCACATGCAATTGTAGGGACATGTGTTGTAGGGCATGCAATATCAGAGACATGTGTCATAGGGCATGCATCTGCAGAGAGTTGTCAATTCATATTTTGTATTATTATGCAGGTGTAGTCATTTCATCTTTTGTATTTTTTGCAGTGAAAAGTCAATTCAACATTTGTTTGTTTTTGCAGTGAGTAGTAATTGTATCTTTTGTAGATAAAACACTGAACAGACTGAAATGTGAAGAAGTCAAGAACCGAAATTGGTTATAGGTCCTTTAATACCAACTGAAGGTGTAGGCCTATCACGTCCAAAGTATTACAGACTCTTCTATAAAGGAATGATGCTGAAACACTTTGGAGGGGGTATCTGTAGGTGTCCAAAAATGCCTATAAGCTCTCGTATACAGCTCGAGATGAACAGGAGGCGATAAACGTCAACATTCAAAACGAGAAGATTCACCAAGTGGCCCGCGTGCTCACCGGCCACCATCAAGTGGCCCGTACACTTACCAGCCACTAAATCGGCGAACCAAGTGGTCAGCGTGCTCACCGGCCACCACCAAGTTCCAAACAGGTTCTTCCTCAACATATTATAAGCTTCATCATCTTCATCGTCACGATCTGGTTTGTTTTTTAAGAATAACCATATCTCCATATTCTTGGAATGAGCCAGGGCATTCATAGCTGAAGCAGTACTTGATCTTTTCTCTTCAAATTTTTCATGAGCACTGACTAGTGTAGGCATCTAAAAATGCCTATAAGTTCCCGTATGCGACTCGAGATGAAAAGGAGGCGATAAACATCGTCATCCAAATTGAGAAGATTCAACCAAGTGGCCCGTACACTCAACAGTCACCGGAATGATGAACCAGATATCTCATGTGCTCGCAGGCTATTTCCAATGGGCCCGCGCACTCATTAGCCAGTTTCAAGTAACCCGCGCATTCGTTAGCCATCGAAACGACAAGCCAAGTAACCCAAATATTAGCTCAGCCACCATCAAAACGATTTGCGCGTTCACGAAACGCGCAAAGCAAATCGAGGAAGCGTACCGTTTGGCGAAACAATGAGATACATACAAACGACGGAACGAACCGGACTCTAGAAAACCACGAAAGCCTCTGGCGACCGGGACGCGTCGAAACAGTCCGGTCAGACCAGTGGCTCGGCCACAGGCCAAACCACCATTTGGTGGCTCGGCCAAGGCTGAGCCACTTCGGTGAATCGGCCAGAATTAGTTTTTTCGGTTCTTTTATGGATTCTTTCGGGATTTAAGGTTCCAACTGCTCTGATATTGTTGTTAGACAGTTGCTAACTGAAGATAGAGGGAATCCCTCGTTTTGATCCAAGGAAACCACCAACCAAGCCTATAAATAGGGGCTCAGGTGTTCATTTTTGAAGGATCTGGAAATCAAGAGGACGAAGTGCTGTCAAATTAGAGATTGGAGCACGAATTTCAGAGAGTTAGCAGATCTTGGCGGAGTTCTTCAACAAAGTAAGAGTTCGAGAGATCTGAGACTCATTCCACCCTCCTCCGGATTTAAGCTTAGTCTTAAATCCCGAGAAGAGCCGTGATTTTGCTTAGTCAAAATCGCCGCTACTGCAATCACTTCCTTCGTGAAGCGAAAGCACTAATTATCCAAACTTCTGCTCACCGGATCTGATCCGTAGGTGGTCCACGGATAAACCCCGGCACCGGCAACGATCCCGCATAAGCAATAGGCGATAAACTTCTATTGTGTGTAGTTTGAGAGAAAATTGTAACTTTTGATTTAAAGTCTTATTGTGTGTAGTTTGAGAGAAAATTGTAACTTTTGATTTAAAGTCTTATAAAAAGGCTATATTTGTTGTTTGAGTTTATTGTAAGTGTTTGAAGCTGTAATGGACTCATCAATGAAATCAGTTTTCCACCCAAACAAAGGAAAAGCTCTGATAAAAGAACATTTGGGTCCGGTGAACAAAAGCTAAGAAGTTCCTCAGCCAGGGGATCGTACACGTCCTCTCATTGGGCCATATGGTGCTCAAAGGTGTCATGCCGCTTCCAACAAACTAGGACACCTCAATGTTCATTCAACATGCATAAAAGGGGCAAGGAGGCCTCCCCTTATGGGAGAATTCCTACCACCTCTCGCCGGAGGGTTCGTGTTGAAACCCAGGAGCCCGTTAAGATTCCACACTTGCAAGGGGTAGTTCTAAACATGCGACTCCTGAGAATACCAACAAGGCTTTACATCCCTAGAAGAAGACGTGTCCATCAAATGACAACGTTATACCTAGGAGGTCACACCAACAAATGATAGGGTGCTTCGGTCGTCATGATAATGAGTTGTACTATCACACTAGGGGTGTGAACAAAACCCGAAAAAGGAATATTCGAGAAACGAGCTCTTATTGTTCATGAGAGAGGCTCATCAGGGTAATATTATCAGAATATAGCTGCTCCAGGACCACTCCACAAAGGGTCTTAGTATTTCAAAGATTTTCTAACGAAACGTCAAAACTCAAACCAAGACGTTAAAGATGATGAATTCCCATAAGTCACCATCAACATGGCTGATAAAGGAAATTCAAAACAACATTTGAATGATTCTAGTCCTGACTTTAGCCTAAGAGGAAGAGTTAACCCAAGAATTTCTCGGACAATGTCTCGACTCCAATTGAGAGCCATTCAACACAAAGATTATAGAAGGATGCATGAAGGAACGTCTTCAGAGGATGAACTTTCAGACTCTTGCTCCACAATCGCTTTTGATGACACAATGCTAAGTATGGGGCAAGCAAGAGAAGCGTTCACCATCACTTCTGATGTTATGGCCCAAATGCTTCAGGAAGCTCTGACTAAACAAAGAGAAGGGATCAGAGCTAAAATGAGGAGAGAGATGGAGCTAGCCATGCAACAAATGAGAGAGTTGCATGCTCAAATACTTCAGCCACCTGAGTCAAGTCAACATGCTGAATCCAGTCATCGTAATACCACACCTGTTCAAATCAATGTAGATGGCAGCGACTCAGATGTGGATGAGACCATCATTGCAGACACTCCCCCTAACAACAATAATGCTGGGGGGTGGTCCAGTTGAGCCTCCTCAACAACGCCCGAAGAAAGAAGAGGGTGATAACAAGAAGATAATGAAAGAGTTGGAGAATAATGTCAATGCCTTAAATATCTTCTCAAGAGGTGAAGAAGACCGGCATACTGTGTTCATACCTAAAGGAGTGGGAGTTAATTCCGTACCTATCAAAGTTTAATTTGATTAACTTCATGACGTTTGATGGAAGAGGTTCACCAACCCAACACCTGATCTACTTTAAATCTCCTTTGGGTATGATCTTTGAAAATGAACCTTTGTTGATTCGGTCATTCGTTGGCACACTTCACATGGCTGCCTTTAATTGGTATCGACATCTTAAGCCAGGGAGCATTAACTGCTAGGATGACATGGAGAATCTATTCCTCAGCAACTTCTTCAATGATGACACTGAAGTGTCAATCAAAACTCTTCTAGATGAGAAGCAGAAAGGCGGAGAGTCAGTCGATAAGTTCGTCAAACACTTCTGGGACAAGGCCATGAACTACTGAGATCCAGTTACAGAGGATTTTATCTTGTAGACATGCCACAACAATCTCTCCCACGATGTCTTGGAAGCCATGGGGGTTGTACCATCCAAAACTTAGAAGGAGCTGAAATTACACAGAGAAAACGCTATCTCAAAAGAAAGAATATTGAGAGAGGCCTATCGACAATTAATTCTTCCAATTCTAATTTTACTCTTCATGGTAAGGGAAAGGCACCTGTGACTGCTGTTGATGCTCATCAAACATCATAACGGCAACCTCAGAGGCAACAAAAGACTTATGGGGTATACTCCTTTAAAGAGGATGAAGTGCCGACTATCTTTAAGTACCTCCTGGACAACAACAATATTAAGCTACCACCTATAACAAATCAAGAGGAAGTTAACAAGACTTCGGATCCAAAGTTGTAATGACCATGAATTTTCAATATTGGATTAAACAAATTTTCCTAGTATTTAAATATTAAATTTATTTTTCTAAAGAGTATATATATTCTTCTCAGTTTTCTAGAATTTTTTATGATTTAAGAATCCAGATTATATTTATTTTAATGATTTTACTATAATAAATTAAGCTGTTACAGTAAAAAACATTTTAAACTAATACTTGATTATTTATTACTGTTATTATTATTGTTAATGATTACCTTATATTGATTTTTTAGCCTATTCCAATCCCTTGTATTTTTCCTATATTTTCTTGTATTTTCTCCTTAATTTTATTGTATTTTCCTTAAACCCTAATTCTCTCCTATATAAAATCTTATTCTTCTCTCTCCTCTCATTCCCTCTCTCCCTTCGTTCATCGATCCGCCGCCGAGCTCTCATCTCTCTCGTTCTTGCGCCATCTCGTCCATCCTTCTCCGTTCCACACCGCCGGCCGCGCGACGCGCGTTTCTGCTAATACTCCTCCGTCGCCCCGCCGCCTCTCTCTATATATCTCTCTCGCCCTCTCTTCCCGTCACACAACCGATCCTGCTCACCCCATACAGGGCCTCCCCATACACCACCATTCTCTTATGCCACCACCTCCGAATCGCCAACCCCTCGGCCTAGCCCTCGCTTACCCACGGAACAGGCCTTCAGCCAGCCGCGCCGTCAACTAGCCCCCGAGCTCCCTCTTTCCTCCAAAAACAACCCTCACTGTCCACCTCTCACCAAGCACCAACCACTCCATCCTTCGACTCGTAGCCTCCGCCGATATTGAGGCAGATCCGGCCAGCCAGGTACGCGTACACGGTCGCTTGTCGCTGCCGCCTCACCTGCGGACTCATACGTCAGTGTCGATTCGTTCGACAAAACCCCAAGGCAAGATCCCCAACCTCAATTGTATTTATTTTAATTTTTAGATTATAGTAAAAATTGTTAGGCGCAAGATCCATGTTCTCGTTATTTATTTTCGTATAATTTTAGATCTATCGTAAAGTAATTATGTGCAAGATCCCAATTCTCGTTTAGTTTCGTGTCAATTATTATGTTTGTCGTAAATTAATTTTGATTTAGTTTCGTTTTAATTATTATTTTATCATAAATTAATTACGTGTAAGATCCCCGTCCCGTTATTTTATTTCATATAATTTTAGATTTGTTAATTATGTGTAAGATTCCGATTCTATATTAGTTTATGGCAATTCTTATATTTGTCATGTGAATTTGCATTTTTAACTGTTATTTATTAGAATTTTAGATCTGTTAATAATTATCTACGTGAGTTTGATGAATAATATTAAATAAATTGTAATTATGTGATAATTAGTATTTTTAGAATAATTATAATAAATTAAAGAATTTATTTTGATAGCAGAATTATTTTATAATAATTATAATATTTTTTAGAATTTATTTTGTGGAAGGAAATCATTTTAGAATGATAAATATTTTTAAAAGAATTTATTTTGGGAAAATATGCTATTTTTAATTAATAATAATTTATCTTGTAAAAAGATTATTTTTGAATTTATAAATTTATTATTTTAAAAGATTATTTTTAGAATAATTATGGTGGGAGACAACTTGAAAGGAATTTATTTTGTAAAAGAATTATTTATTTTAAATTAATTTAGTTTATGAATGTGTGATGGATGGTTGTTGACCGTGGCATTTTATGTGTAAAACATTCGCCGATTCCATGATTCTTAGATTTAATGATATGATATATCATGATTTTAT